TTGCTTACCTGAATTTCATGGCTAATTGGTGTCCTGGAGGGGGTGGGACTGAAGCCAACTTGGATGAAGGACTGAGATGCAGAAGAGGTAGATGACCACAAGGCTGGACTAAGAAGCGAGTGATGAGGATCAGGAAGTTTAAATGAGGGCAAAAGTCAGCTATGCCATGCCTAACTGGTAGGGACACTTGGGATGGTGAGGTATCCTTCCACAATCTCTGAGAGCTAATCTTGCTGTAATAAGCATATTTTTTGCTGCTTTGAAATTTTGTAGGATCAAAATGTCTCTAACTAAGATCTGTCGGTATAAAAGACTCCGAAGATTTGATTAGTGCAATTACTTTATTTTACTGTTTCAAGACTAAATTGTTGCCTTTTCTTTTTTTGCCTTGCGATACTGAGAAATATCTTGTTCTCAACTTCCAGTTCCTTTTATTTCGTGTTCTAGTTGCTTCATCTCCTTGCTGCAACCCCCCTCTCCCAAGAAACAAACGTAGGCAAAAATCATTTTATAAACAAGTAATTTGTTTGCACAGTCTGAGCTAAGCTAACATTAGAATCCCCCAACTGAGAACCACAGCTCGTGCCAGGACTTTCTCTGTGAACCAGAACTGAAATGTGCAGATGAACAGGGAAGTGCAAAAGGCTGGCTATGCTAAACTGGGCCACACCAGCCTCTCCCTGGAACACAAGGCTATTGCAAGAATCCAGCTCCATCTGGGACTGTAACATCAATTCAGTTTCTTCACCCAATAGTATGAAGACTCCAGGAGATGAAATCCAGATTGCCTGTTTGCTTCCTAAGAGAATTGCAAACTGACCCCAATGCAGGCAGGCTCGTCTAGGGTTTTATTGGATCTGCAGTCTTTCTGACAGGGCTTCATAAATTTCACCTGTCTCTGGAAAAGGCCCACTTGCATCATAACTATTTTATTGGAGAGCAGATGAATGGCTCATAATGATTACTACAGAAAGAGGAATACCGTAGTTTCATGTAACGGAAGTGAGACTTGTTAGCAGAATTCCAGGTCTCTTTACCTGTATTTTTCACACAGCTTGTGAGACACAAGCATTTTACGGAACAGCGCACGTATATGCCCCAGCTGCTTTTGGATTAGTTAAACTAATGCATACAAACTTTAACGTCCGATTACTGCATGATGACTTTTGTGACTGATCCAAAACAGTTCATGAAATCAGGACAGCTGAAATGTAATCATGCACTTTTGGACAAATCTGGGGTTTCATTCACTTCACTGCTTTTGTTGTGTAAAGGCAAGATTAAATTCCATGTGAAAATCAGAGGATAATTAAAAAAAAAAGGGGGGAGAGTAGAGAGGGCTAGATTTCCATGGCTCCCTTCTTCCTCCAAGGGGTAACTGTTTGCTGCTGGTTGCAAATTGCTTTCAGACACACCAGTGATAACTCAGCTCTGCTGACTGGCATGTTGGAGCAGGAGGCAAAGCCAGGGCTTTTATTGAGGTGGGAGCAGCATCTGCTTCCTCCTGTGCAACTAAACACAGGAACCAGGTAGCTTGAGCAGGGTTATAATAGAAGCTTTGCGGCCTCCTAGTATTCCTACCTATGGGTGGAGGCCGAAAGAAAAGCTAGCCACAAAAGTTTAATTTATTTTTAACATGTACAAGATGCCGTTTGATTCACAAATATACCCATGCTGAGTCCTGTAGTTTGGTTTATAATATAATCCACAACATGCAATCATATGCACTATTTCTCAAGAGTGTCTTGGATCTTTCTTGGGAGTGTCATTCTGTCTGTTTCATTATGTTTCTATTTTGGTCTGTGATTTATTGTATTCATAGACTTTGCCTGACTATCTCTTAAGTTTTTAAAAGCCTTTTCATTTAGGAAACCTGTCTGCATTCATGTCTCGCTGCTTTGTTGGAAACAGATGGCTCTTGCTGGAGAAACATAGTTGAATGAACAGACACCAACCACTTAAACATGTGGTGATGTATTTGTAATCAGATCTTTAAAGTGCTAGCCAATGGCTATTGAACCCTGTCATAGGGGAGCTTTGGTCCACACTTATCAAGACCTAAATTATAATTTGGATCCTTGCCAGATCTTTACTTTGGTTGGAGAAGAGGAAGGTATATGGCCAATTTCCTGATGCCACTTGTTAGTTGCCACCTGTCCTGTTTCAATGTGGGGACATGCTTCTTGATCTCCCTCTCTTAACTGGCCCTATAGATTTTGGGACAACAGCCAGTGCGAGAGCTGTGAGAGTGCTATTTGTACAGCTTCTGCGCAGCATGTCCACTTGTCTGTGCCTCACATCAAACACAGTAGGTGATCAGAAGAATTGTGCCAAGTGCCATGACCTAACTGGGTCTCAGATCTTCCTCTGCTTTTCGATTACAGGAGGGCAGATCCATCAGGGGTAATGCAAAATAGCCTGACAGCCCTCCTCACCTGTGACTGTGAAAGATGCAGATATAGTCGGAGGATGTGAAAAAAGGAAATGAGAGAAGGAAATGACTTGAGTTAGAGGGAAGGAGACTAGAGGTCTGAGAAATATAGACTGGTGAGCCAATACCAGGATTATAGTTGAAAAATATAATCCTTACTACCAAGTTTTTTCTTCAGTTGCACTGACCTATATGAAACCTGGAGGAAGGACCTTTGGTTGCAGGAAGAGTTTGGCTGAGATCCCAGGAAGCCAGTATATGTGCACATGGATTGAGTGCTGGTTGTAATTACTGCTCAGCGTGTAGTACATGAAATAATATATGTACAAATCAGTGTGACTTCACTAGGGATCAGCTGCATCTCAGATGTGTTAGAATAGTTTAGAAGGAAAAGTGGAACCCAAGGTTGTAATTTGATTAGAAACTTTATCACAAGGCTATTAAAGGAACTTTGTTACTATGGCATGAAAGATAAAATTGTACCATGGATTTGAAAACTGATTACATGTATGACTAATGGCCAATTCTAAGTGTGGAAGAAGGTTAGCAGTGGAGTGCCCCAGGGATAAGTTGTTTTCAGTGGGGAATTGAGTGTATAAAATTGGCTGCAGGATGTGGCCCCGTTGCTGCCAAACAAGGACACGGATGGGATCCTAAAAGCAGCTGGAATATTAATTTCTATGTGCTAAAAAATACAATGAAACTAGAAGCAGGATGATTACAACAAGAAGCAACATTGAAACTTGTGAGAACAAATTCCAGATTGTCGGTAACAGTTTAAAGAAAATATGTAGTAGTAAACTAGTGTCTTAAGAGGCAGTTCAGATGTTGTGTTAAATTAGGTGATCTATTCCACTGTGTAGGTTTGTATAGTAAGTGATAGTGATAGGTTTGGGAAAATATCCTGGCAAGACTGAGCTTGAAAACAAAGAGGAATTAAAAATATGGGGTATCATTTTCAACTGTGTTCAATAGGGTTTGCATGGGAAAGAGAACCATAATAAAGTGAATTCTGAACAGTTAGGGGAAAACAGAACTCTGATTGATGCATATGCTAATATGTATTTAGAAATGTGGAAAACCAGCAACGTCATGTTGGGGGTATATAATTTAATGATGAATTGACCCCTGGACTGGGATCTGCTAGCTTGTAGCCCTCTTCCAACCCCATCTCCTGCTGCATCAGGCACTTACAGTACGAGTTTAATCCATATAGGAAGAGATGAGGGGGAGGGAATGCTGTGTTATCTTACTTATCTAGGGAAGCCTTGAAGTGCAGATCTATGCGGACGGTGAAATGCACTCATCTACTAGAAGGGCCTCAGTGGAGGTATTGTACAGCCAGGACAGCCGCCATCGCTATTGGTTTGGCTTCTAAGAATTTACTCAGCTGAGTTTGGAGGCTCGTGATAGTAAATGTTGCAGCTGTCTAATGACAGTCCTGCCCTGAAAGCGTGCAGTCCTGTCACCCATTGCTTCTCCACTGTAACCAACTGGTGACGGCTTTTCAGCAGCTCCAGGAGGCTTCCTCGAGGAACGGGGCACGAAGCCCGATTGTGCCATCCTCCCTTCGGAGAGACGGGAGCAGCGGCCCCGCTCCGTACTGGGAACGCTCGGCTCCCCGCGGACCTTTGCAAAGCTCCCGGCAGCGGGGAGAGCCGAGTAGAGGGCAGCGAGGCCCCGTGGCGCAGCGTGGCCCTGCACCTTGCCCGGGGAAAGGGCCGTTTGATCAAGCTCTGGTTTCTTCTCTGTGAACCAGTCTTGTGAGGGCAGGGCCGCCAGCCCTCCAGGATTGCCCCGGGGTCTCCAGGAATTAGAGAGAAATCTCCAAGGGAGTGCGAAGAGTCACCCAGGAGAGAGAAATGATAGGGCGTTCATTAAGATAAACAGTATTTGTTGAATCTCATGTATGCATCTGTCCACTGGGTTTTTAAAAACGTAGCTGTAATGTGCCTCCCAGGGGGCGCCCAGCACTAACTGGACTGAGAGCCGGGGTGCTCCAAGCCTTGCCTAGGGGCAACTGCACGCTCAATGGCCATGGCAGACTCTAGGGGGAAGAGGCACACGTGGCTCTGGGACGCATGCGCAGTGCGCTCGAACGGCCGCTAGTGCGCACGCGCCGGGTTCGCTTCCTGAGCCGGGAGCGCGCCCTCTGGCGGCTTCATCCGGGCACGCGGTGACGTCGCCGCCTCGCACGGGGCGCCCCGAGTCCCTTTGCTAGCGTTCCTTCCGCTTTGACCCAGCACGCCGGCGCAGTCACTGGCCAATGAGGCGCAGCACCGGGTGACCGCGGTGCCCGGTGGGAAGCCGAGTCCGGAAAGGCCCGTCGCGGAGGCGGCTGCGTCCC